TTATGTTTGGTCACCAAAAGGTAGCAGTAGGTGCTTAATTACTAAATCCAAAGATGAAATCTTCTGAAAAAACTTAATTCCTTTAATAAAATACTTTTATTTCATGTACTATTTAAAATAACTTTTTAACAATAAACAAAATGCTACTAATACAAATGTTTATCAATATAAAATAAAATATTATTACTACCAAGGACTAATAATCAAGACCGAAAGATGAAGTTTAGCTGCAATAAGAAATAAGATACAATCAGAAGATAGTTAAGCTCCCAGAAAAGATCACTGTGGCACCAGCGGTTATTTATATGAATCGGAAGAATTTATATGAATTACTCCATCAATGTTGAAGTAGTAAGTATTATTTATTTGATTACTTAAGTATTTTGAATGTTGACTTAATAATAAATATCATCAGATATGTAATGCTGATGAAAGGATATCGTTTGTGAGTAGTAGATATCCTGCCGCCACATATGACATTGGCATTTTTCAGGTCTTAGTAGTTAGAGCCATACTGAATTATTTACCTATTTAGTGGGTAATTCATAGATATATTTAATACAGCAAATCAAGAAAGAAAAACCTATCAGTTGTACATTTACAGGAGTTTCAGATTACCCATTAGAACATTGTCTACACACCCCACACAGGGCACCGATAAGGTGTGAGTATACTGAGGAGCAATACAATGAATTGCACAAAAAGGCTAGGAATGTTATTGAACGAACATTTGTAACTTTATTTAGTTGCAAAATTTATATATGATACATATCAGTTTCTAAAATGCTACTGTTTTAGTTGATATTGTAAGTGTTTAATTGTAGTGTTCCAGATTGATATGAAAAACATAAAGGTACTTACGTTAAGAATCTGTTACCCAAATCACCTTGTACGGCCATACAGCCAAAACATTCACATAACCTTTCGTCATAAATAGTGTTTCTTTATCGACATCTGAAATTATAAAACATAATATTTGATATATACATATGTAAATATGAAAATCATATGAAAAGAAAGAAAACATGAAATGCCCATATAAAAAATTGTTAAAATATAACTACCATGTGGATGGAAACAATATCGATAAAGAATAATGCGAGTACGTACTCAATAATCTGATAAATAATACGGATATTTAAACATGCAGTTTAAACTTAAATCGATAAGCAATAAGCAAAAAGCAAGAACGTTACTAACAAATATTTCGCAACTAAAATCACAGAAACTGCAGAATAGAAGGCTGTCAAATGTTATTTCTTGACAGACTGAATCAATAAACGAAACTATGACACACCAAAATACTAACCGAAAGCCTGCAAATAATTTATCGCCAAATTAGATCATTAAAAGTACACTAAAGCACTCAATTTAAACAAAATCAAATTAACATTACAAAAACCCATGGCTGCAAATTCTACGATGTGAATCACCACACGACATAGGTTACAAAGCAAGCAAACGGAGAGCGGAGTAAGTTGTAAGGGTGCCGGCACACATTGCCATACTGTTCATACAGCGCCGATGCGGTTCCAGTCGCAAACTAATCTAAGATTTTGTCAAATGCTTTATTAATGATTGATAGCAAAATAACTATTAAATGCAGAGATAATGAAGAAGAATGTCTCATGAATGAATTTTAATCCTAAGAAATTAGTTTTCGAATTATATATTTATATATATTTATTATATAAAATATATTTATATATATTTCGCATACACACACACACACACATATATATATATATATATATATATATATATATATATATATATGGAGGATATTTGTAGATGTTACGACTACACAAGACTTAAACACACTGATAGCAAGTGTGAGTGTGTGTTTAAGTCTAGTGTAGTCGTAACATCTATAAATATCCTCAAAAACAAATCGAGTGTTTTTAACAAAAAAATATTAGTGATATGGATATATAAATTATTACAGAATAAACCTGATGATGGAACGTACCTAGTTCCGAAAAGTCGTATTAAACATCTTCAAAAAACAAATTGTTTTTTATTATTGGATTTACTGTTCGGAAAAGAAACAATCAATATATTGAAAAAATCCAGGACTTATCTATTGAATATATATACGAGTATATATATATATATATATATATATATATATATATATATTATGTTTTTAGGATTCTTTTGTTTGCAAAGTATTTGTTCTTTTTAAAAATTATCTGTACGTTTTATACTCTTAAATTATTGTATTACTTTCCATTCCTGCTAAATTTGTCATTCCATCGTCAATACTCCTGCGCATTTCTCTTATTAGTTTTTAAGTTTTTAATATATTATTATTAGTCATTGAATAATTAATATTATTAAGTTATTTTTCTTTAATTTGTAGTTCTTTAAAAATATGTCTGTAATATATTTTAATAATTATTAGTCAGTTATTTCTGTTTAGTTTATAATTCTTCAAAAATATATGTGTGTACGGTTATGATGTCGAAACCAAAGCCCAATCGTCCCAATGGAAGAGCCCAGGTGAGCCAAGACCGAAAAAAGCACGTCAAGTTCGATCGAATGTCAAGGTTTTGCTTACTGTTTTCTTTGATTATAACGGCATAGTGCATCAAGAGTTCTTACCACAAGGTCGTACGGTTAATAAGGAGTATTACCTTGAAGTGATGCGACGTTTGCGTGAAGCAATCCGAAAAAAACGCTCCGATTTATGGAAAAACAATTCATGGCTGTTGCACCACGATAACGCACCTGCTCACTCGTCGTTGCTTGTTCGTAATTTTTTGGCCAAAAACAATACCGTAGTCATGCCCCAACCTCCATATTCACCAGATATGGCTCCGTGTGACTTTTTCCTATTCCCAAAGTTGAAGAGACCCATGAAAGGACGGCGGTTTTCCTCGATTGAAGAAATAAAGGCCGAATCGCTGAGAGTGCTCAAGGACATATCAAAAAGTGAATATCAAGGGTGCTTCGAAAATTGGAAAAAACGCTGGCATAAGTGTATTATATCTGGGGGGGACTACTTTGAAGGGGACCACATTAATGTAGACGAATAAATAAATATTTTTTTGAAAAAACGAAAATTCCGGGTACTTTTTGAACAGACCTCGTATATATATATATATATATATATATATATATATATATATTAAGGTGTGTGAACCATCTAAATAAGAGGTTTGACAACTAATGGCGTCATAAGTTTATGCCTCGACTTCAATTGTGTCACTGCTTGTGGGATCCGTCTACATTGCACCAGATGGCACCACAATATACCTTTAGACATCCCCACTCAATGTTGCTGAAGGTATTTAACACATAGCGCAACACAGACAAATCCTCTTTCACCTCAACCGTTCGAGGAGTCAACAACTACTGACCTGGGACCACGGACAGTAGCCAGCCAGAAGAAGAAAATAATAATTTATAATTTCAATGTAAATATATCTAATATAATAAATATTATATTATAGTATTTGAGTTATTCAAGTGGAAATATATCGACGGTTTTCTGACGCAACCTCGTAACTCGATTTTTGACGATTTTGAGTTTTAATCGGAAAATCAATCACTGAATATAGACGCATGGATCTGTGAAGTTTTGTAAAAAAAATCAAGCGAACGTTTTTTATTGAGAAAAGTACAATCACGTATCTCAATTCAGAAAAATGTGCCATGCGCAACCACGTATCTCAGTATCTAATACATGGTGGCGTATATAAACAAGTTTCGCTGTCAGCAATGTTGTTTAGTTCAATCTTTCTAATAAAAATTATTATTTAATTAAGTTAATTGTTATTAAAACTTAATGAACGATAGTTAATAAATACATTTATTTAGTTACCGCAAGTTATAGTAATTTTCCAAAAATTGAAATTGAAACTTTTTGCATATTTAACGTTTCAGAGGTTTCTGAATATCTTGAAATACCTTCAAAAAATGGATGTATGTGTTTGTGTGCGTGTGTGTGTGTGGATACAATTTTCTGTCCACGTTTTCGGGAGCACGGATCAACCGATTTGAAACATTCAAAAAGCAATCGTTTCCTATTGAGAAAACAGAGAATCCGATTTGAATTATTTAAAAACATTCAATTTATATTGATGACGTGGTGATTAGTTTCTGGAAAAGACAGGCCCAGTCGTTTCAAAGCTTTCGATTCGGGTGATTCAAAAAACATTTTGCAGTATAAAGAATCGATTAGTTTAGGAAAGCAGATTTTTTTTTGTCTATTTTTTTTAAATTTACAATTATTTCTTTGTTTAAATATGAAAAATGATTCGGATTTTAATTTTAATGCTAGCTAAAATTCTAAAACTCTCTTATATACTTCAAATAAATGAATTTAAATTTGCAAATTAGTTTATATAATTCTTAGAAATATGAGATATGTTCTTTTTTACTTTTATTTACTTCTTATGTAAACATATATAAACGTCGTTGTCCAATTTATTATTATATCTTGTCATTCAAATACGAATAACGAAAGTTACAGTATTTATAATAAATTAATCTATTTGAAATCATTTATTATTCTTCGATTCTATTTAATTACGGAACGGGAAGTTCCACCAATTTGCATAAAGGCACGATGCTATGCACCACTAGTTATATTTTTATTATGTTAAGAACAAATATCACAATAAGCAATAAAAATTAAACAACTCTTACTGACAATAAATTCTCACATGAAATTAAATTTTGTATTTTTTAGAGTTAGATAATGTGTCATCCGCAAATAAAAAATTAAATAAAGAAATAATAGAAAAAAAGAATAAAAGTAACAATAAAAATGATAATCACAAAGTAGTAAATTATAAATCCATGAAAGAGCTAAATATACTAGATATTGAAATACCTAAACTATGGCCAGATACTATATTATCGTAATTATAAACTAACATATACCACAAGTTTAATAATGTTCGTTTTTTATTAAGAATTATTCAAAAAGTTGATCAATTCTCAAAATAAAACAATTGAAAAAAGTTATTCATGTACTCTTATTTGAAAACAGCATGACGCAACCACGTACGTTACATTTTTTTCCGTGCGACAAACACGTATCTCAAAGAATTGAAGAAAAAATAATTATTAATTGTTTGTAATATCATACTTGTCTCAAATAATTGCCACAAGATTGAATACTTTTAAAATTTATAAAAAAAATTGTCAACAGCAGTTTAAAAATTTGTTATAAAACGTTTTTTGTCTCTCATGAAAAGTAGTAGTTTCTGAGATACGAGGTTGCGTCAGAAAACCATCGATATGTGGAAGATACCCACAAAAGTTAGGAATTAGTTATGCTGCCCCAAGTGCTATTTTTCAGATTAATCCTCGGACGGTTTCCAGGATATTTGAAAACATGTTGAGTGTGATTCGAAGAGGATGTGGATATGTTATCCATTGGCCTACCAAGAGCATATTGAGGAATATGCCAAAACAATTTTAGAAGTTGTATCCAAAATGCAGAATTATTCTTGATTGTTTTAAGATTGAGACTGACACGCTATCTAGTATTGACAATGCAGCCCATACATCCTCAAATTATAAAAGAATGTATTAAGTAAAGTTGTATAAATTTTTGTTGCAGCAACTATATAACTAATGTTTTGAAAGTACTTAAATTAATCTTATTTATTCATAGGTGCTGATTGGTTGCACTCCGGATGGCTTTATTTCCTTTGTAGGTGATGTAGGTTTGGGCAGAATAACTGACACCCAAATTACTTTTCAGGAATATTAAGTAAATTAGAACCTGGAGATGCTGTATTCGCTGACAAAGGTAAATTCATGAGTAAAGAAAGACATATATAGTTTCTAATTGTGCTTCGTATTCAGGATTTCCATCAATTCGAACAGAATTAGATAAATTAAGGAATATGTCTGTACTTGTTCATCCCCTGTTTGTCCAAAACGGATTACTTCAGCCAGAAGATATCGAAACATACTCTATAGGTAGCGTGCGCATGAATGTTGAACGGGTTATACAAAGATTGAGAGTTTTTAAAATTCTGCATCATATGCCAAAGGATCTTAGATTATTTTTAGCTGATAACAATGTGTCTGTATGTGCCATTTTAGTAAATTTACAAACTTCCATTATCAATAAATAAAAGTTTATATTAGGTTTTTAATTTATTTTATTATAAATTATAATTAAGGAATATGTGCATTGAAAATGTTGCTTCATACTCATTGAATGTATATGTGTCATAATTCTTGGTTTAGAGTTGCTTGTCTTTGAAAGTTTATATTTGATTTTTAATTTTATATGTGATACATTTGTAAGGGCTTGAACATGCTATACATTCATTAAATACATATAAACAAACCATAACTCTTTTAGTTTTTCTATGGAATAGTTTAGTTTATAGTTTAGTGAATGCTTTTAGTGAAAGTTTTTAAAGAATTTCTCCTCTAAACAAATTAATGTCCGTTATATAATCATGAACATTACCACTCAACTTCTGAGTGACTTTGAACGCTAATTTGATGGACAACGCTAATTTGATCTGAAATTAGAAAAACTTAACCACTTAATACTAAGGTTCTTTTGTGAAGGGAGATAAAAAAAAATAAGCTGTTTTTTTAATTAACGTATTAATATTGTAAAAATCATAATATAAATTCAACCTAACATAAAAATTAAGAAAAACAAATTTATTAATCTATTTACGGCAAACAAAAATACGTCAGATGGCAAAAGTTAACTAATCATACTTTTGAACAACGCAGAGCCCGTAGCATGCTATTATTTGAAAACAATGATGAACAGTTCTTGCATGTACCTAAAATAATCTAAAAGCAAAAACATTGAGAGAATTTTATTTTTTACATTTAACACTTTCGGGACGGCACCTTTTTCAAAACAATCTACTTTACCGCATATAATTTTACTATATAATGTCACGCATCAAAAAGGGCTGAAGAGGACGGAGTTATCAGAATTGACACATTGATTGCATATCTTCATTGTTTTTCATTACATTCCTTTATTATTTATTATTTATTTTTTATTTAGACTAGGATAGTTATAGATATGAGTTTATATAGCATTAGTTATTTAAGTACTTATATAGTAATCAGCAAATAGTAACAGCATTTATCCACACTAGAAAGAATTACCATTGGGTAATCTTTCTAAATAAACCATATATTATAACATACCAATTACTAAATGTCTTCATTAAGACAGATTGTAATTTGAATGGTAAATAAAAAAAAAAGGTTTGGTGGGTATTACCTTCGGGTGCAGTCTCTAGGGAAATCTGACTGTCTAATTAAAATAAAGCATTGCGATGGCCCTAGCGGGTTTTGACGCAATGTGATTTGTGCCCAGTGCTCTGAATGTCATCGTGAAGAAAATCAAGCAAGCGCAAGTAAAGCGGGAGTAACTATGACTCTCTTATGACTTTGGTGAGAGAGATTGCGGTTTCCTTAGATCCAAGGCCAAGCACGTGGCCTCCATAAGGCTGGTCGTGTAAAAGGCTATGGTTTCATCGAAACCGTAGTCAAGCACGTGGCCCGTGGCCCCCTTCTCGTGGGTTAGTATCTCTCCGGGGGAAACTAATAATCACCGCTGCGTTTGTGAACCAGGAATGCTGCCAACACCCTCGTTCTTGTACACCACTCGGTTCAATGAATAATATAAAGCCTCGGATGATTAATTTAGACTCGGGTGGACCCGCAGATTCTTTCCAACTGACTGATACGGGTAATCATCTCTGCCGCTACCCACAATGCAATAAATCATTTAAAACCGTAGTGGGTCGTGGAGTGCTCGAATAGAAACAACATAAAGAATGGCATAAACAGAGTCAAAGAAATCCAGATGGACTGAGGAAGAGCAAGCTCTAATGGCTAAAGAAGAAGCGGCACTATTGATTAAAGGAACCTTCCACATTAACAAAGCTCTTCTTGCTTCTTGCTGTAACACCCGGTCGATTTCTGAATGCTCTAAAAGGCCAAAGGAGATCACCAAAATATAAAAGCCTGGTTGCCAAATTTGTTAGTTCGATGTCCAACCAAGACAGTACCGAGCTTTGCTCTTTCACCACACTAGATATCTCCGGAGAAGACCTACGATTGACGCTGGGACCAGTAGTCGCCAGCACTGAAGAAAGGTTCAATTATAAAATGTTGGCTAACACCTGCCACTTAGTAAGTAAAATATCACTGAATGACCTGAATGGAATGGTTGCAAACTACCTTAAGTCAACTTTTACAGCAAAAAATAGGCTATTAAACACTAGAATCAAAAGGGAAACCTATATGCCAAAACCTAATAGAAGACAAATGAGAAGAATCCAGTTCAAAACTATACAATTACACTGGTCGAATTTTACCCTATTAAATATGATCAATTTATTTTGGACTACAAAGATGTCTCACATAAGCCACCACCCGACCGAACATTCTACCCTATCACTTGGATCAGAAGGTGCGAGAAATAAAGATCTCTCGCTGATATAGAGTCCGTAGAAGAAATTAAGAACTGTTTCCCGCCAAGAAATTCAGCGCCAGGACCAAATGGTGTATCCGCCAATCTACTATGATCGATGCAAACAAACACCCTGGTCAACCTATACAATTTATTTTTGTTCACAGGACTTATCCCTAGACAATTACTGGAATCCTACACGTCTCTGATTTCTAAAAAAAAATGCTGAAAATCCCGGTGAATTCAGACCTATCACTATCCCATCAGTTGTATAACGAGACACTTCAATAAAACCCTAGCAAAGCGGATGCCAACACTGATTAAAATTAATGATAGAGAAACCGCTTTTCAACCGGTCGACGGTTGTGCAAACATCTTTGCACTAGACTACCTTCTGAAATAGTTTATAGTTTATAAACTATATATAAATACCACAGACAGAAACTCAAACCTGTCTTTATAGTTTCAAGTGACATGGAGAAAGCTTTTGATTCAATTTCACACAATGCGTTAATAGACATTTTGAAATATTACAACTTACCTAGTAGATGCATACAGAACTCATATAGGAACAGCTGGACGAGACTCCATTATAATAGCTGGCACTCGGATCCCATTAGTCCGACACTATGATTAGGAAAGCCATAAGAATTTTGGCCGACTGACTCGACCAACGCATATTTTTATGCCAAAGACGGAGATGAGGGTTTATCTCTCCCGTCTCTAAGATGATTGGTACCTTTGAGAAGAAGGGGCAGACCTATGAATGTGATATGGACAGACTGAAGCTTCCAAACGCCTGACTGATAATGGGACTATTATAGGTTCCATTAAACTGCTAGATGACAGATGGGCTAAGCTGCTCTACAATTCAGTGGACTGACAGGCGATCTTAAAGTCATGAAAAGTCCCACAGCAACACCGGGTACTACCTTCGCGTCGAGTCGCCCAAATTAAGCGAATAAGATCTAGGAATAAAATAATTTAAATACTTTTCTGTTTTTCTGCTGATAATTCAACACTTTTCTAGCATTTCTGAGATCATCAGCAGCGATTTCTGTACCGTAAAATTCAAACGAAATGATAGAGTAAAATCACTTGGTGATATGAATGCAGGTATCCGAACAAAAAACGTTATTGTCCCGATTAATCCTTTGTTGATTTTCCAAAAAATGTGCGTTGCAAAAGCGAAAGAGAACTTGAAAACTTTCTTCCGCACCAACTTGCCCCGTTACCTTTATCCCTTTTCAATGATGAAGGTATGTGCAAGTGCATTAAATCTTCTATGTATGAGGTATTTAAACCACATTTCAAAGATATAAATTTTGGAGACAAAATGTTTATCATCGACGGTGGATACCTATTAAACCGAGTCGCGTTTGGCATCGCAGTGAATCGATTTTATTCAAATTTTGTTGCATTCGCTCGATCGAATTATACATCCAATGCTATTGTTGTATTTGATGGATATCCGGAAGATGTAAATCGTAGTACCAAACATGCAGAGCGAATCCAAAGATCAAGAAAAACTGCTTCAGTAGATATAATTTTTTGCGAGACAATAATTCCAAGTGCGCCACAAAATAAGTTCTTGGCCAACGGTATAAACATGAAGCGCGCATTAAAATGTTGAAGCAGAAAACTTTAGGTCAAGCCACGAAAGATGCGGATGCATTAATAGTTAATACAGCAATAAGCTTGGCGACGAGATTTGATTCCATAATAATTATTGGTGAGGATATAAATCTTCTTATCCTTTTGACGGCTCTATTAACGCATACAAATAATATTTAGTGAAACCAGGAAAAGGAAAATTTTTGCGACAAATCTACATCCTACATAAAAACCGTATCATAGTTAATACAGCCACAGATCGCTGTTTTTTTGCTGTGATACGACATCCGCAATTTTCAGTCAAGGCAGAATAAAATATATCAACGTATTACAGAAAAATCAAGACCTAAATAAAATTATCGAAATATTCAAAAATGGAAATGCTGATCCACAGCTCATTGCTACAGCTGGAGAACGATTTCTTTCCAAATTATACAATATATCAAATATACAAGCTTATAAAAATCAGTATTCAAAATCAAATTTAACATGGTATCTTTACCACCGACAGAGGCAGCAGCATCACAAAATTCATTCCGAACCTATCATCGCACATTGGGCATAAAAAAATGTAAAAATGGTCTGATTCCTGTCACAACACTTGAGTCGCCAGCTCCCGAAGCGTTGCTAAAACTTATATCTTGCATTAATTGCAGTTATTTTTAACTAAATCCAATTTGCTTGACAAAAGCCTGAAATAATATCTATTAGTGTTGATTAAGGCTTGCTAATGAATAAATAAATAAATAAATTTATTTTTGTTGAATGAACTGTAGCGGAGTACAAAAAGTAAAATGATATCGATTTACTACTGATAAAAGTTACTATCGGATATGATTATAAAAAACAGACCCAATTGGTATTGCGCTCTGTCATTAGATTTTTGTGAAATAAGTATAAAGTCTAGAATTCACCCGATATCGATTTTAAATCGTGCTTTTTTAAAAGCAATCGGGCATAACTCTCTCAAGATATTAAATATCTTGATATCGGTCAAAATTATAAGGTGGA